ATCTCTGCGGAACCACTGAAGACTCTTCTACCTCTGGTCCTACTGTCTTCCCAACACTATCTGCAATTCCTATTTTTCCTTCAGTAACAGGAGTTCCTGGCTCTGCTCGGCTGCAGGAATCTGCGCCTCGGGTGCACTCTGGGTTCAGAAATGGCAACTGGCGCGCAGGGTGCTGGGGAGGGGACGAACACTGAGGAGACAGATGGGAAGGCTGAGCACAGCCAGTCTGGAACCAAGCCACGACGCTGAGGGGCAGGAGGAACATCAGCGCTCCCTGCCACGCTTTGCCTTCTCCAACTGACTCCAGGGCATAATTCTAAAGGCAATCCCACCCAACTCACCAAGGGCTTCAAAAGTCGACCATTAACCACCTCCTGGAGCAGAGGCTACGAATGCTGATCTAACAGGTAGAAGCAGAGTGTCTACTCCCGCTGAAAGCAAGAACGTGGGTCAACCTCTTTTTTAAAGCATTTTTCACCACTGACAATCAGCACAACACAGGCCAGGAAGAGACACACTGGTATTGGCACCTCTCGAACAGCGGGGTGTTGGGTGGACAACTCCTGCTGACCCTAAAGGTGCACCCATTAGCCAGGGAGGAGGTCACCTTTCACTCATGAGCAAAACCAGACCCATCTCCAAGATCTCTTCCAAGGGGCCAGAAACCCCCGCCACAAGCCCCCACAACAGATCACACTGTAAGAAGAGAAAATGAGGGGTTACTTACTATAGGAGTAGCTGCTAACTTCAGATATTGCTGGTGAATGGGAAACCTTGAGCTGATTTTTGACTTTTAACCCCACCTCCATCTTCTTCATTTTGGCAGCCACTTTGTTTTTACCTTCCTTGGTGGCTTTTAGCGACAGGCCCAAGTTCTTGGCCAGGCTCTTCTTCTCCTCCTTGCTCGGCAGAGCCTCGTGGGGTGGGAGGTACCTGCTGCCACCTCCACCAGTTTTCGGCTTTCCCCCAGAGCTGTCGGCAAACTTGAAGGGGGATTTGAGCTTGTCTTGTTTGGTGAGCGACAGAGCCTTGTCAAGCTTGCTGGCCAGCTGCTCCTGATCCGATGGCACCTTCTTCTTTTTGAGCTTTAACTGCTGAGGTGAGAGGAAGAGACAGGTGAACACCGAGCAGGAATCATGGCAGACCTGAGGGATTTTACTAGCCCTTGTAACAGTCTCTCATGCATGCTAGTCAGGAAGGCCTCAAAATGATGGTCTTAAGCCCCAGCTGCCATAACCCACCATGACGCTAGGGAGTAAGAAGAGGAAGATGTCAGCAAACAGCACAGCTTTACCCTTATTGAGCACTACAAAATCGCAAATTAACTTAGAAAAATTGAATTTTCTTCCAAAAGAAATATGTTCACAGAACAACATGTTTTGGAGCTCTTTTTTTCTCAACACCTTCTGGGTTTTAGGATATGTTTGGGTTGGTTTTACAAGCTTTTCTCTAAATCGCGAGGATTAAAAATCTTCTTTACTCAAACTCCAGCCAAATAAATATGGATTTCCACATAATCAACCAGCTCCAGAGGCTGGGATGCCAAAAAAGACCCAAATACCTCTCAGCGAGAGCGTCAGCACCACTGCATTACAGCCAGCGCCGTTACATCCTTTCCAGTATTTTCTTCTTGAAAAAAAGTAAATATACTTTACATGTGCTACAGCCAGATAACAGCAGCTGTAACTCAGCACTTTGCCTGTATGCATTTTGGATTTCATCAGCAACTTAAAGGTCCAGTAAATATCCCATTGCCTCAACGGGCAACAAATAAAAACCTGCGTTTAAAATCAGAAGGTTGCACTCCTTGTCCTCCTCCGCTCTGGGGAGTCCCTTCCCCTCCACTATCTTGCTGGGCAAAGGGGTAGGACACGCACTGCTCTGGATTCAGAGCAAGCGCCACATCGCAGTGCTCTGGCTGGCTTGAAGGCACTTGTGTCTCTGCTGCCTACCGAAGAGGGCTGACCTCCATCAGCCAACATCAGCCTTTGCAAACACCCCTCCACCGTGCACAGTCCTCTCCTGAAGAGCTTCTAAGCCCACGTGAACCGAAAGCAGACGCTCTAAGGCCAGGAGGAGTCAGACAGTGCAAGTCAACACGAGCAAAGCAGGAAAGAGATCTGCTACCGGCCCGTGCCTCTGTGTTCCCCACGAGGGCACTGACCTCATTTGAGAAGCTGGGAGCCGCATCGTGCTCTTCCCAGCTCTGGTTCCTCCCTTTCATCTTGCCACTGCTGCTCTCCACATCCTCGTCCTCCTCCAGGAGGGCCCCTTTGTGTCTCTTCTTCATGCCCTCGCCAGTCTCAGAGTCTTCGGAGAGCAACAAGGACTTGCTCAGTCTGCAAGCCAAGCACAGGATGGGTCAAGGTGGGGGGCTTTCCTCCCTGTGATCCCCACCAAGCTCAAAAGGGAGGTTAAAAGCCTCCTAGGACAGGTGGGATCCTCAGCAGGAGCCAAGTCCACTGTGAAGTGACAGCAGTTTGGACAAAGTTTTCCACCAAACAGGAGAGCCAAGGAGCCCTTCTTGCACACTCTTGGCCACCAGCACAGATGAAGGTGCCTGACAACACAGACCTGGCTGGTTGTCTCTGACGCATTTGGTGTCTTGGGTAACAGTCACCGAAAAGTGCCTCATTTGATACAAGAAGGACAGAGTGCTGAGCTGGCCTCGTATGTCTTATCCCTCGTACGTCTTATCCCACCTCTACTTTCATGGACTCTGTAGGTGCAGAGAAAGATCTCCGAGGCCCAGGGAGGTGCCTCAGTGCCCACACAAGTCTTGCTCTGGTTGCTTGGGTGTAAGCAAGGAGGTGTTAAGGAACTGTCACGTAAGGTGACGTGGACTGACAAGGCCACTGCAGGGACTGGTTCACTCAAAGGACAGGCGATCTGCTTCAGGAACCTGGCCTCTCCACAAGAGGCATTTGTGATCTATGTCTCCAGTCTTGCTTTGGGATTTGGGGGGAAAGGAGAGGGTAAATAAATAATTTAAAAAAAAAAAATCAAAAATAAAGTAAGTGAGACTATAAGCACCTCTTTCACTGCTCCTCAGCTGTCTCCAGTAACTACCCAAGAGATGATCAGTCGACACACCTCCAGACCTCTACCGAGCTGCCTCCTGCCTCCACACTAAGCCTGCTGGCCCAGGTCATACCACCACAAAGCCACTGACACAGGGCAGCCTCCTCCACTTCCAGGCATTTCCCTTCCCCTCTATCCTCTCTGCTGACCTCCACAGACAACGAAACCAAAACCACAGGCCCCGGACGTTGGCTGAGGGTGCACCTCCATCTCCCACGCCAGGCTGCTCAACCATTCCTGTGATGCGGGGACACGCACACGCGACACGGCCATGCACGCACACACGCGCAACTCCAGACACCTCTGGATGGATCCTCCAGCCCGTCCAGCCATCCAAACACAAAGAGCAAAACACAGAGCCACCAAGAAGACAGATTTTCAGAAGCGCATGGTCAGTGGGAGCTGGGCACCTGAACCTGATTTGTAGTCTTGAAAGGACGTTTGCAAAAATACGCAGCACACAGGGAGGCAGCTTGGAGGCGCCTTACCATTGGGTTTGGCCACCTATGAATGGTTAGGTGGCCAACAGTGGTGAGATCCAGGCATCCAAACAAGAGCAGCTGGACTTGCAAAAGGGAAAAAAGCAGAAGAGAATGATCCAGACGCTTGGGAGAGAGGGGTCAGGCAAAACCAACTCCCACTGATTAAGGGAATAGAGATGAAGACAGCAGAAAGGCGTCACAAAGTAGATAACCTGGACCAGCCCTGTGCTGACCGCTTCTGACATCAACATCCCTGCATTTAGCTCTACAGCACCTGCTTGCTCCGTCCGTTCTCCTGAAAAAACATGAGGACACACTCCCTGACACCAAGAGCTCACCTACAGGCCCCTGCCCAGCCACCTGCTCCGCATCACCTCACCGCTGCTCAACTCAGCCTGTCCTGCTTGCCCCCAACACCACAGACACGGGCTCTACCAGCGGGGAGGGAGGGACAACGCTGGCACCATATTCCCACCGTAAGGGCACACTCACGTTAAATGCACACGCTGCTGCCAGAGACCAGCCTGCCGACACAACGCCGCGGCGAGACCCCGCTGCATCCAAGATGCTCTCCCCAAGTCAGACCCTGGTGCAGCGACCCTGCCATTTTCCCGTCTTCCCCAAATTCCAGCCTTACTTTCCACTCTTGCTGTCACTCTTCCCTCTCTCCTTAATGGGTGACAGAGCGCTTGATCCAAGTTTCCTCTTCCTGGGCCTTCCAGGGCCTCTTCTCGCCAAGCTTCTACTTTTCTCGTCATGCTTTTCCCTTTAAAAAAACCACACGCTTCACTGTTAACCAAGGCAACAACAAAAAAAAAAAAAGGAAAAATAAAGCCAAATCAAATTTTGCAACCAAAAAGGAAAAAAATAAATAAAGCAAAACCAAAAAGAAGAAAAAAGGGAAGAAAAAAAAAATTAAAAGAAAGCAAGCAAGAATGGGAGCCAACCCAGAACCTTCGCCTGCCACCAAACTGCTAAACTGAGCTGCTGAAGCCAAGGTTGTCTCTAATACAGTCTCCTGGCTGCATTCACCAGTGATCGGGCTGTCATGTCACATAGCCTAGGAGTGTGCTGTGCAAAGCTCTAGCGGGCTGTACCAGGAGGAGAGGAGACAGGGAGGGATGGAAGGCTGTTCTCTCTCCCAGACCGAGAGGCAGTGCAAGTGCCCAGCTGGAAAAAAAAAAAAAGACTGAGTAAGCAGCCTGCGACTTACTCGGAGTCCCTGCGGCGCTGCAGCTTCACCAGTTCCCGCTGCTTTTCTTTGTAGCGCCGCTGCAGCTCCGCCAGCCTCATCCTGTAGTCCAGCTCCATCGCGTCCATGTTCTCGATGGCCGACTTGATGGAGTACATCTAGGGTGGGGAGGCAAGAGGGGGCGAGAAGGTCAGCACATATCCAAGCCCTCGTCTAGACCAGGGCAGTGCACGGTGGGCTCACAACGGCCAAGATCTGCAGCCTGGCAGGGAAGCCCTCCGTGCCTACACCGGAGTGGAACAGTCTCAGAGCACTACCCAGGGAAAACCAGTCACGCAAAGATGTTCTGTAGCTTATACACAGGATGGTATCAGCTTTGAGGGAGAGCAAACCCTGGCAAAGAACCTGCATGATAAAACACACTCATGGAGTCTCTTTTCTCTTATTTAAAAATACTCTTTGTCTTGGAACACTTACGCGCCAGGTATAAAATAATTCGTCAGTCTCTCCCACAGGGAAGAGTGAGCAAAGAAAAAAACAATGGAAAACGCTCCCACCACTCTCTGTATTTATCCTCCCGCTGCCAAAGCAGCACTGTACAAACTCCTGCTGCCACAAGCACTGTAAAAAGGGCTGCCGAGGGTCCTGCCAAATTTAACGGTGTTGATTCACAAACGAGGGAGGAAGCTAAGTCGCTCCACACGGACGAGAGATGCGGCGGCTCGCTCTGCTGAACGTGGAAGGGTGGCCAAAGCCAGGTGGCAAACAGTAGCTGGGAGAGCAAGCTGCGGTGAGCTGACGCACTGTGGCTTTTCAGGCTCAGCTGCAGCAAGTTACTTACAGGTTCATCTTTCTTCTGCATCCAGCTGTACTTCTTGTTGGGATTCAGCTCTCGAGGCAGTCGGATGGTTTTCAGACTTTCCATAAAGGGGGTGGAGAGTACTTCCATGAGCATGTGGGTGCTGGCAGCCAGCAAACTCTCCAGCGTTGGCCGGACAGGGAAACTCTCTGGACCTGCTGGGAAGGACAGAAAAAAAAGGCACAAGCTATACAAGTTCACAGTCCAAGACTGTTCTTTCAGCAGGCACCAGGAGAGGCTGATGCCCCTTTCTGGACCATGGCAGCTCAAGGAGTCTCCCAGCCACCTTGGCCCCAAGTTGAGATCTCCTGTTGTACCCAGCCCTGGTGCAACTGGCAGTTCCCATCACGTCTCGCCTCAGGAAGTTACTGGAAGGTGAGATCTTTTCAGGACCTGCCAAGCTCTTGGAAAGCATCATCTGGAGCTACTGGGGCCTCTTGTGCCAAATCCCAACAGACTCTAGACTCGGGGCCTGCCAGGAGGGCGTTACCCTGGCAGTTCTCGGCAAGCAGGGCTCCATTTCCGCTACGCACACTGCAAACTGTCTAGACGTGGCGAGGGCCTTTGGAAGGGGAGAGCAGTACAAAAGCCACACGTAGCTCAGCCTACTGCAACAAAAAACCTTATTCCAACCCCATGTGAAGCTCCTACAACTCAGGGCAATGCTGTCCTTGCTGCCTGGCTGAGGTTGCAAGAGATCCCACCTGCATGCACAGAGAGTGCAGGGACCCCCTGCAAGGAGACCGAACCTGGCCCGTGGTTGGCCAGGTCCCACGCTCACGACTTACTTTGCATTTCTTGCTTCCGTTTTTCCAGCTCCATCTCCGCAATTTCGCTCAGCAAAGTGATCCCTTGCAGGAAGGAGTGCTCCAAGGCCTGGTCAGGTAACACCTCCACCTTCATCTGGGGTGGAGGGACACCCGTGGTAGTCAACAAGGAACAAGCCTGAGGCATTTCTGTGGCAGCCACCAAAGCGTTCATCCCAGCCAGTGGGTCGCCCGGTTTGATGTCCAGAGCTGGGATTTGGCAAGAGATTGCCTCCTCTGTATAGGAAGAGATCTCTGGCCCCTGCTCCCCCTCCTCAGGGGGCAGGCTGGGAAACTCTCTCCCCCGGGGCACATCAGCGCTCTGCAGATCCATGGCTACAGAGGCTTCCTCCCGCTGGGGCGTCAAGTCCATCTCGGGCGGCTCGCCCTCCGTGTGCGCGAGCGAATCGTCGTACTCCATGTGCATGGAGCAGGTTTCCGCTCCGCTCCCCGTCTCTGCCTGAGCCTCTGCTTCTGCAGGGCAGGCCACGACCTGGTAAGGAGGTGGGCAGCTCTGGAGGTCTTCCTGGTCCTGCTCCATAGCACTCAGGGCTTCACCTTGGTGCAAAAGGAGGTTGCAATTGTCCACGTTCTGCACGGGGACGGCTGCAGAGGTGGTGATGTTGAGAGTCCCCATGTCCTGCTCACAGATGCCTTCTTGGCTTTCCTCCATCTGCACCTCTGACTTTACCCTCTCTTCCAAGGACTCCTCTTCTGCTCCTGCCTGGATAGGCTCGAGCATTTTGGACGGAGACAGGTGGATGGGCTTGACCTCTGGGGAAAGTTCCATGTGCTCGGAGCCTTCAGCAGGCAGCGGGACATCGGGAGGCAGGCCGTCCGCGTCAGATGCTGCGGCGGGCTGGAGGAGGTAGGGATAGTGTCTTCCAAAGGAGGGAGGCAGGGACTGGAACGGATATCCCGGTGGGATCTCTGCAAGATATCAGAAGGGACAGTCTGTGTAACGGCCGGGTCTCCAGAGCACCTTGTCTCTCACTAAGGCATAGAGGTGGGTTACTTTGGCTTCCATCGTCTCTCATCTCTTCCCATTCTCGAGCCGTAGCTGCTTTGGGCACCTCTCTCCTGGCCAAGCTGGCACAGGGAGCAGCATCACAGAGGTCCCTTCTGCACCTTTCCAGCACTCTCCTGCAACTGGACCTGCCTCCTGCATCCTTCTCCCACTGAGAGTCCTAGAGGAACCAACTCACGCTCAACCCAAGGACAAGAGATAGTCTATTTTTTTTTCTCCTAGGACTCAGGCATCAATCCCAGACCATCACCCCACCCCTGGTCCTTGCCTCAGCCCTGCCTTTTAGAGGAGCTACCTGGTTTTCTCTAGGGGAAGGGACGGAAGCAGGAAAGAGCCGAGGAGAAAAAGGGAGGCAGGCACAACGGGACTCTGCCAAAGCAGGGCTCTCTTACCTGGGAACAAGGCCTGATAGGGACCGGCAGGCTCTTTTTCCAGCTCCAGGTCTTTCTTCTCCACGGTCTCAGGCACCTCTTCCTTTGGAGGGATGGCAGGGGCAGGGGGTGGAGA